TTTTAATTTGACCAGACAGAGACAGAGAGAGAGAGAAAGGGAAAGGGAAGGCGGGAAAGAACCGCAGTCGGCCATGTGAGAGTCCAGCACCTTTAACCACCTCGCCACCTGCCGGCCCTTATACAGGAATTTTTAAGAAAAAAAAATTACTTTCAGCTATCCATGGTTTTTAAATTGCCTATGTGATATGTCACCAAGAACATTTTTATAAATTAGTCTAATTAAAAACCTTGTGTCCCAAACTGTCCGCAGACCGTTAACACTAAAATTAACAACAAATGTAGCAAAACATCAATTTCCTTGCAATTTTAAAGCACCTTTGAAATAGTTCTTATGTTTAAACAGGAAACAAAATTACCAGTAATTTGTATTTAAATGGGAAATTGAAACTAAAGCAACAAATTATTTTAGAGTAACAACCGGTGTGGACACTGTATACAAAGTTCTATAAAATGTAAATAAAATTACAGGCAGAGGAATTTTTTTCCCCTTAAACATGCTTATTAAAAAATAAAAACTGGGGACCAGCAGATGGCATAATGATTACCTCACTGGACTCCCATGTAGTCAACTGCAGGTTCAAGTCCTGGACCCAGTCCTAAGAGGAGAATGGAGAAGGGATTGCGGCGTGGCCATCCCCCTCCCGGGGGGTGGGGAATGATTCTGCTTTCTGTCTCTCTGTCTCTTTCTGTCTCTCTGTCTCTTTCTGTCTCTCTGGTGAGTGCATGTGCCCTATAGCAAAAATCTCTCTCAAAAAAAAAAATAAATAAAAATAAAACTTGAAATTAAGCTATCTAAGCATTTGATTCTTGGGGCTAGAAAGAGAGAAAATAAAATACTTGAATATAAGAATTACTAAAGAGTCATAAAGATGTACAGTGGCTAAATGTAAATTTTAAAAAATTTTTAAGGGGACCAGCAGTTAGTGTAATGACTATGTCGCTGCACTCCCACGTAGTCGACCGCGGTTCAAGTCCTGGACCTGGCGGCTTAAACTCATGCTGGGCACGTCTCACTGTCTCTGTCTCTGTCTCTCTCTGGCAAGCACATGCACTCTATGGCAAAAAAGAAAAAAAAAGGAAAAAAGAATATTTTGAAATGGAAGCATGATGAGAATGGTACCATATTAATGGTGTTGGGACAATTGGCTATCAATTTTAGGGGGAAGACGTTTTATCCCACTATACACAAAAATTCCAAGTGGCTTATAGAGCAAAACATATTTTAACACCTATAAGTAAATAAATAAATAAATATACAAACTTTTTTTTTTTTTTTTTTTTTTATAATTTGCTGTAGGGCAGGTGCGCTCACCAGGGAGAGAGAGAGAGACAGAGAGAGAGAGAAGGTGAGACATTACTCCCCAGGGGAGATGGCCACACTGCAATCCTTTCTCTTCCAGTCTTTTCTCAGGACTTTGGGGATGTACCACACATACCTGGTGTCATTTCCAAGCCACTGAGTCTAGGACTCAGAGAAATTATATTTGCAACTGAAGTGAAGAAAGATTAATATCCGTCATACAGAAATAACTCCCACAAATCAATAACGAAACGGTGTAGAAGCCCAATGGAAGTCGACAAGCAGTAAAATGAATCAAGTCCCTGAAAAAGAACATACAACTTGCCAATACACAGACACGAATGACAATTTCACTGACAACATGGGAAACATGAATAAAAACAATGAAGTGTTTCGTTTTGCCCACTGGTTTGACAAAACTGCATACAAATTTTAATTGCTGGGACCAGCAGTTAGTGTAATGGCTATGTCGCTGGACTCCCACGTAGACGACCGCGGTTCACGTCCCAGACCCAGTGGCTTAAAACTCACACCGGGTTCATGTGCGTGCATGCCCAAGATCCCGAGAGGAGAATGGAGGAGTAGGGATTGCGGTGTGGCCATCCCCCTGGGGGGTGATTTCTCGCTTTCTGTCTCTCTGTCTCTCTCTGTCTGTCTGGCTAGCGCACGCACCCCATAGCTAAAACCTCTAAAAAAAAAAAATGTAATTGCTAGTGTTGTCCAAAGAGTGGAGGAAAAGTACTCTCTCTTTTTTTTTTTTTAAGGAATTCTTTTATTTGACTTTATTTATTTATTTATTTATTTATTTATTTATTTATTTATTTATATTTGACCAGAGAGGGACATAGTGAGAGAGAAAGAGAGAGAGACAAAGCAAGCTGTCAGGTCCAGGACTCAAACCATGGTCGGCCATGTGGGAATCCAGCGCCCTTAACCACCACACCACCAGCTGGCCCGAAAAGTACTCTCTTAACGGGGATTCCAATGGGTTCAGTATGAGGTTGGGGGTGGACACTGATGCCATTTTGTAACAAGAACAAAAACGCCCACGTGTGTGCAGAAAGATAAATCTTTGTAGACATTTATGCCCGAACATTTAGAATTACAAAAAGAAATGGAAGTGACTTCAACGTCCATCAGCAAAGGCTAGTGTGATTCCAGTAAGGCTCGTATCTGCAGCGGGTGAGATGAACTCATACTGACGGGGGAAGGTTCCGTGTACCGGGCAGTGTTCTTCCTGCTTTATACGGATTTAATTCTTACGAAAATCCTATGAGGAAGGTGTCATAATTAGTGCTAATTAAAGACAAGGGAGTTGAGGCACAGAGGGGTGAGTAATTCACCCAGGATCAAGTGGTGAACAAGTGGCAGAGCTGGGATTTGAACTCCAACCATTTTGCCCTGGAGCCTTGTAGCTTATCTCTGACCCTAAATCATGCTTCCCTATGACTATGTTAACCTGAGAAGATAAGAAAGTCACACGCAAGACAGATAGACTAACCTCATCTTTATTAAAAGTGGAAAAACATGTTTTGGTGCATAGGAAAAAGTGATTACTTGCGGTAAAGGGTGGCTTTGGCGGCAGGTGAAGGGGCCCTTCACTCCACCTCCATTGTTTCTCTGTTGTTTCTATCTTTCACAGCGAGCAGTTACTTCTGCAAGGAAAAATAAAATACTAAGCATACTTTAACACTTATTCTATTTGTATATTATATGTCTTTTTATGTCATTTTATAGAATCTTTATATGTAGTGTCTGTCTCCAAAAGTTTCATTTAGTTCAAACTACCGTCTGTTACGAAAGTCAGAAAATAGTCACACCACACCTATCTGCTTATATTCCAAAGTCATTCATGATCTTCTTGTGAGAGACTGATTCATGTGCATTTTCTGGAAGTCCGCTTTATTTCATTCGTAATAGAGCGTGCATGCATGCACAGAAGAAGGGAAGCCCCCTCGATGGGGTCTCGTCTCGCCACGGTCCTCTTCTCCCTACTCCAGCTTCTCAGAGTGTGCGATGCCAGAATACCTGCACGCACACCTGGTGTGTCGCAGGTCGGTGGGGCTGGGGATCCAATCCTGCAGTTAGCCATGTGGCTTCCAGCACTGGAGTTCAGAATGCTACTAACTGTACCACTGAGGGTGGGCCTGAATTTGTGCATTTTGTAATTACTTATTTAAAAAAAAATATTAATTTAATTTCATTTGTTATTATTTTAAAATTTGCTGTAGGTCACATGTGCTCACCAGAGAGACAGAGAGACAGAGAGAGAGAGAGAGAGAGAGAAGGGAAGTGAGAAAGCAAGCTGTCAGATCCAGGCCTTGAACTGTGGTTGACCATGTGAAGTCCAGAGCCTTAACCACCATGCCACCTGTTGGCCCTGAAATTAACTTTTTTTTTAAACAAGAATCTAGAAATGGTTTGGCAGAAATGGCTTTCATTCCATTTTTAATGTACTTTCTAATGGAGAGTTTGCCCACGTGTGAACTCTGTTCTCCAGGATCTGGATTTCCTTTCCACAGCACTATTCATAGGGCTGCTCTTTGCAAGATGCTATGCTGGGTGCAGGGGACAGAAGACTGAGTAAGCCCCGGGCTAGTGGGAGAGACATTTCCAAGCCGAAACTGGGGGGCCATCTTGGACACCCCCTTTGCTTATGCCATCCCTGTCCCCCACCTGGCACTGGGCCCGTCAGTCTGTCCCGCCTGGTGATCTAGTCCACCCATTGCTGTCCAGGCAATGAGCTCCTGATCCCTGGACCACTGCACCAGCCTCCGACTCCCTGCATCACTCCTGCCCCTTTGCTAACCCACGCTGCGTCCTACAGTTGAGGGAAGTCTCTTTAAAAATGCAAATCAGGGCCAGGCCTGTAGCACAGAGGTTGGCTGCTGGCCAAGGGTGATTCAAATTCCTCCCTGGGTGGCTTGAAAAGCACACCAGGTGTGTGTGTGTGTTTGTGTATCCCACAATCCTGAAGGGATGGAGAAATGGAGGATTGTGGTGTGATCATGTCCCACTGGGGCTTGCGTTCTCTCCCTCTCACTCCCCACCCCCTGTAAGTGCATCTGACAATTAAAAATAAAAAAATTAGGGGCCAGCAGGTGACATGGTGGTTAAGGTGCTGGATCCCACAAGACAGACCACGGTTCAAGTCCTGGAGCCGGCAGCTTGCTTTCTCACCCTCCCCCACTATGAGTGCACATACTGTATAGCAAATTAAAAACACATAGTAATAATAAATAAAATTAAACAAATAATTCTTTTTTTAAAAAAAAAAGGATTTAAAAATGTAAATCAGACATGTCCTCATCCTCCCAGCCCTACTGGGGTGAATCCATTACTCTTGGGATAAGGACCAAAGCCTTCACTGCGGTCTGCAAGATCCTCGGAGGACCTGGTCCCTGCCAGCCCTTCCAGGCAGCTCAGAGCTCGCACCACCTCCCTCGGCCCTCTTGTGCTTCCTCAAATATGCCATGCTCTCTCCCACCTCTGGGCCATGGCTCACGCTAAGCTTCTGCCCGCAGCCTCCCCTCTCGCTCTCCACATTTACCCCCTCTGAACTTTCAGTTAGTGGCTCACTCCTTCAGGGGAAGTCGCCCCACCCTCACTGTTAGAGCGACCCCCACCCTGCTCCTTGCTCCCTGAAATCCTCTGTCATTGTTTCCTCATAGCTGTCCCCGCCTCTGGGCTGTGAAGTCTGTAAGGGTAGAGACCCTGACCACTTTGTTCCCTGCCATGTTCGGGAAACCGAGCACAGAGCCTGGCACACAGGTGCTCAGTGGACACGTGTGGAATGAAGGAATGAATGAGTGGGCGCGGGAAGGAGTGAGCAGGCCAGCTATCCCAGCACACGGATTGTGGCAGGGGCTGCAGTTGCCGTGGGACACGTCCAGGCTGTCTGCCTGGGAAGTGGGGAAGGCAGGGCGGATAGCACAGCGAGGCCCTGAAAGGAGGGCAGGGGAGGCAAAAGGGCACTCCAGGCTCCGCAGCACGACGCAGATTGGACGGAGGCTCCCCTGCAGTTGTCGGGTCAGCCTGGGGAGAGGCCGTGCGATAAGGCTGCAATTGTGGGTGAGCCCAGCCTGGGAAGGGCTTTGCCTACCAAAACAGGGTTGAACTTTATTCTGTAGGTCATGAGGGAGATGGGAAGGTGAGGTAGGCAATTTTTCCCATTCCCTCCCTCCTCCTGCCCCTCCTCCTCTGCCTTCCTTACGTCTAGAGCTGGGGAACAGAGTGTCCGAGCACCAGACAGTTGGGTTTGGCTGGAAGGGGAGTAACAAGGGGCTATCGGGCCCATTGGACTCAATGGACCCCTAGTCCTGGCCCTGTCCCCAGATGTATAAAGCAGAGTTAGAGCAGCAGAAAGAGGAAGACACCCTCCCGAGCCACCCCACTACCCTGGAGAGGTGCGTGGGAGCCCCCGGAGTGCCTGGGACCCAGCCTTAAGGGCAGGGCCTGGAGAGAGGAGCTGTCAGGACAAGCGCTCATCAGTGAGCATGACAAGTGTGTGGGGGATGCCGTCTCCTCGTGTGTCCTCTGTATGCTTGCTTTGCCTCAGGAAAACCGAGGGCTAGAAGCTCAGAGCTACAGGTCTGAGTCACAAACAGGTTGCATTTTGCCCAAAGTTGGTGAGTTGTTGTGGAAAGTCGCTGCTCTGAGCAGAGGCTGTGGGTAGCTGGAATTCAAGGTGGCCCGCAGTCTGAAGATCCATAGCTTGTCCTCGAAGCTACCAGCATCCCAGCTGAGGACACTGACTCTTGGCCTAAGGCAGGGTTAGAGGGGACGAGTGCCGACCCCACGAGCCAGTGGTCTCCCTGGCTTCAGCTCCTGCTCTCCCCGCTCCTCTGCTGATCTCGCAAACCTTCTAGAGTTTCAACACCATGCGCCCCATTGGCTTCTAAGTTTCCTGCTCCGCTCTTTGGGCTTGAACTTGGGCTTCCACGCCGTGTTATCCGTTGCGTGCTGAGTTCTGTACAGGGCCTGTGCGAGGCTCTTGAGTCACACCGGTGAGTAATTTATGGTCCCTGCTCTCAAGAGACTGCCAGTCTAAGGAGGGAAATGGATACAAACAGATCCCAGAACAACATGACGGTCTGGGAAGAGGTTAGTTAGATTCTAGTGGAATCCACCAGACTTTTTTCTAGCTTCATGTAAATGTCGTAATGCATGACTCTAGTAGAGTTTTGTGTATAGCCAGGGGTCCAGGACGGGTTGAAGGAAGAGCAGGGAGGGGGCATCCAGCTTTGTCGCCAGGCCTACCATAGTCTTCAGGTGTGGAAGTCGTTTCACTTAGTGACTGCTGTCTGACAAACCGCCCCGAAATGTAATGGCTTATAGCAAAGTCATCGTTTCTCACGGTGCTGTGTGTTGGCTGCTTGGGCGGTTCTGATGGCCCCATCGGGGATCACTCACATGACTACAGTCACCTGATTCGACGGCATGTCTGGCAGCTGGTGCTGGTTGTCAGCTCTCTGAGCAGCCTCTCATCCTCCAGCAGACTAAGCTTCATCAGGGTGTGCTGGTCTCCAGGTTAGGAGCAGGTGAGGCAAGAAACTGCGAGACTTCTCTTTAGGTCTGAGGTCTAGAATTTGCGCATTGTTATTCTTGCCAGCTGCTAGTGGTCAGAAGAAGGTCACAAGGCAAATCCTGATTCAAAGAGGTAACAAAAGAGACTACCTCTTGACGGGGGAAGCGCAACATCATACCGAAAAGTGTGGAGAGAATGAGGCGCGGTTCGCTGGGGGCCTCGTTCTACTGTGACAAGCCACGCAGAGGCCGAAAGTGTGAAGTCTGAAGTGCCACTTCAGCGCGGCACAGTAGAGAAACTTGCTCGCAAGCATCTCTCTCCATGATCTTGGTCAGAGCTCTGTAACTTCTTTTTTTTGTTTTGTTTTGTTTTTGGAGAGATTTTTGCTGTAGGGCGCGAGTGCTCACCAGAAAGACAGAGAGAGATAGAGAGACAGAAAGCGAGAAATCACCCCCCAGGGGGGATGGCCATGCCGCAATCCCTTCTCCTTCATTCTCCTCTCAGGATCCTGGGCACGCATGCACACGTCCCCAGCGTGAGTTTAAGCCACCGGGTCCGGGACTTGAACCATGGTCAACTACATGGGAGTCCAGTGACATAGCCATTACGCTAACTGCTGGTCCCAGAACTCTGTAACTTCTGTCAGCAAAGACAACGCCTGTAAGTCTAGCCTCCTTACCTCCATAGAGTCCATCAAACTATTGAGTTTCAGAAAAGCTTTGACGCATTTTTGCATAGAAAAACACATCACGACTTTTCTGACAACCCAATACAGAGCGGATCTGCTGGTTGCTAAAGCATATTCTTTCAGGCCAGCCTGTGACTGTGGTTAAGGCAGCTGGCTCCCACCTGGCTGACCTCACAGTTCAAGTCCCAGATGTGATGACTTGGAAACACATGTATGTGTGCCCAAAATCCCCAAAAGAGGAAGAAATGAAGAAGGAGGAATTGTGGTATGATCATTCCCCCTGGGGGATGCTTTCTCACTTTCTCACTTTCTCTCTCCTCTCTCTCTCTCTCTCAGTCTCCTCTCTCTTTCTCAATGAACTTTTTGGCAAATTTTTTTCAAAAAGGCATGATATTCTGCAGGCCCAGTGGTGTGCTGATAAACTGTATGGAGGCAGGGGTTGGGGAAAGAGCCCTTGGCACGTAGCATTTACCAGTTTCTATGGTAAATACTCCTACCAGAGCCCATCTCAACTTGCCAATGTGACATCATTCAATGAGGAATTCAGAATAGTTACGCACAATTGGTTCTTGGGCCTTCAGAAGCCAGCTCCACACCTTTTCCTTATCTGAAAAAGTGCTGACATAAACCTTTCTTGGTGCCAAAAGAATAAGATATAAATAAACATATCTTGGTGCCAAAAGAATAAGATGTGTTAAGAAGACAGCATCTTGTCTTGGAAGGCTGGGAATTCCAAGCTATTAGGCAGGTGTGGAAACTAGGTGGGATCTAAACACACCTAGTGATATGTTCATGTGGGTGTAGACGGTTTCTGGAAAGGTGACCCCTTTCTATAGTATTAATTTTTGGAGCTGATGGTGGGTGCATATCTTGGTGCCAAAAGAATAAGATGTGTTAAGAAGACAGCATCTTGTCTTGGAAGGCTGGGAATTCCAAGCTATTAGGCAGGTGTGGAAACTAGGTGGGATCTAAACACACCTAGTGATATGTTCATGTGGGTGTAGACGGTTTCTGGAAAGGTGACCCCTTTCTATAGTATTAATTTTTGGAGCTGATGGTGGGTGGAAATGAAGGACCTTTCTACATATATTCTGTACCACTGTTATCTTTTAAAACCAGTGATTATGCATTAGATTTATTATTAAATCATTAAAACTAAGTAAGTATGCACAGACTCATTGAACTTTATAGACTCTCCAGTTCAGAGAAATAGAATCCAAGATAAATTAGGGAATTTGTCCTCGTTGCGGGGAGGGGGGTGGACAGCAAAGACTGGAATTAAATAGCTCTTTGGATTTCTGGTTTGGAATACTTTCCCCCCAGCTTCCAGGCTGCCCCAACTCTAATGCCTTCACATCAGGAAGAAAGCGATGGCTCTGCTCCTACAAGCTGTGGAAGCTTGGAAAGCCTCACCTTGGGCACAGATCAGAAGGCAGACCACTAGGAGTGGCATGGGTTGGGCAGGCCACCAAAAGGTAACAGTGTGTTCTGTTGGGGACACACTCCATGGTCCTCATGAGAAATATGACCCGCTGCTAGTGTCCTTTAGCAGTGAAGTAAAGCAGGTCGTGGAACTCTCTGATCTGTCGTTGGCCAGAAACATTCTCCCCGTCAACCCCTTTCTGAATACTCTTCTTAAGAAGCTTCATCACGGGCCTTAAATCCATTCATTACAAATTAGTTTTTGGAGAGCTTAATGTTTCTTGGATTTGTTTGTCCTTTTTTGGTGACCTTTCATTTAACACAACTTTTGGGCTTCCACAAGTAAGGACAAGCACTGTCAAATGCAGCATGAAAATGAGCATCAATAACTTCACACACACACACACACACAGGGCAGCCTTATCTTGCAATGGGAGGTGGAGACACTTGTTTTCGAGGAAAGGTCTTGTTGCATGTAGGATGATAGTGGAAGAGGGACAGGGGAAGAGCACCAGCAGGCCAAGACAAATGGACGACTGGAGGAAAAAAAAAACAACAACTTGGAAAACAAAACAAAGTAGCTGAGATGCCAACTCTTCCCTCTGCTCCGTGCCAAGTTCAAGGCTGAATGGGACTAGCTGGAGCCTGGTGGGAGATTTCTTTTCCAGGCTGGGCTGTTCCATTGGATGGGCCCCAACCACCCAACTGCTTGGAGGTGAAACCAGTTCCACCCAACCTTCATACTTTTCCTGAGGTGTTCTGTATTTTCCACTTTATTTCAAGTCCTCCTCCTGGAGGGCGGCACCCATGTCTTATTCATCTTAGTATCTCTCAAAGTGCCTATCATGGTAGCTCATTCTTGGCAAGTAACCAATAAATGTGTGCTGAATGAAGGGATCAAATTTAAAGTAACAAATACACTGTGGATAGACGACTAGTTTTTTTTATTTTGGTACAAGGCACATGTGCTGGTGAGAGAGAGACACAGAGAGGAAGATAGGGAAAACATCCTTCTGCACACAATGCGGAATGATAATACTGCGATCCCTTCTCCTCTTGGAATTTTGGGCACACACGCACAAGCACCCCGTGTGTCTTTCAAGCTGCAAGGTCTGGGATTCGAACCATGAAGTTGGCTATGTAGCATGCAGCCACCCTAACCACCATGCTACCAGCTGGCCCACTAGTTATTTTTGGGGGAGGGACGGGCATGTAGAATTGGGGGAGATAGGAAATGACATCCTGAAGGATCATCAGGCTATGTCCTTGCTCAGGGAGCTTACAGAAGGACGGAGAGACAGACTTCAGCACATATCTGCATTAATTACCCAGTCAGCTCCTTGCCCTGGGGCCTATTATTTCCTACATTTGTGTCTCAACTTGAGACTCCATCTTCCTCTCTCCCACACCCCATGCAGCCACTCCAGCCCAACTGCGGGACAGAGAAACGTGAGTGGAAGAAGTACAGGGTCCAGATCGCAGTGGCTGCTAGGGCTGATCAGAGCTCTCACCTCCGATGCAGGTTCTACGCAACTGAAGACAAAAACCAAAGCTGGGTCCAGGGATGGGGACTGAACAGAAAGAAGGATGCAGTCGAAACCCTTCAAGAGCGCCAGAGGTCCAAATACAGAAGACAGGTTCCCAAAAGGGAAGGAGGACTGTAGTGAGAGAAGACCCACATGGCCCTGGAATGGAAGGGGGAAGCAGGTTGGGCTAGAAGTGAGAGGCCCTCACCTCTGTGAGTGACTGGAGTGTCTACAGCAGGACTTCAGAGGTGCCAGTTGTGGAGGCATGGGCGGATTGGATTAGCACCAGCACTCGGGGCCAGGACAGACACCTCGGACCTGCCATCGAGCCTTAGTCATCTCCTTGCCAGCAAGACTCATGAGGTAGGCCTAGCTCGAGGAAGAGGAACCCTGAGCATGACCGCACCCTAAACTCCACTGTGCCCATCAGCCCTGAGTCATGACAAAGTTTCTGACCATCAACAGCAAACAAAGAACAGAAATGAAGTTTTTTGTTTTGTTTTTCTTTTTACAGTTAATTTTCATTTCCAATTTAAATGGCGACCTCTTCTGAGATTTTTGTCTGTTTTACTTTTGGTGATGAGATGACTTTTCTTTTATGAAATCGTGGTGATGGTAGGTGATAGGGGTGTTGGTTGTTTGAACTGCCTCATTTTGCTAGATTAAAAAGTTGACAATATTGATTCTCAGATTTATGAAAGAAAATATTAATAAAGCATCATATTGTAGTCTGGTTACTTCTACTATAAGGAACTGAAATTCTGTCCCAGAGCTCCAGACCCTGGTTGCTGAAGTACCATGATCACCAACAACAACAACACCAGCACCACGGCACCAGTACCACGGCACCAGCACCAGCACTACCAACACCAACAGCACCATCAACACCATCAACACCAATACCACCACCACCAGACCACCAACAGCAACACCAACACCAGCATTAACACCATCACCACCACCACCAGACCACCAACACCATCACCACCATTAACACCATCACCACCATCAACACCATCACCACCACCACCAGACCACCAACATCAACACCATCAACACCAACACCACCACCACCAGACCACCAACACCAACACCACCATCAACACCAACACCACCACCACCAGACCACCAACACCAACACCACTATCAACATCATCACCACCACGACCAGACCACCAACACCATCACCACCATTAACACCATCACCACCATCGACACCATCACCACCACCACCAGACCAACACCAACACCACCAACACCAACACCAACACCACCATCAATGCCAACACCAACACCACCAGACCACCAGCACCAACACCAACAGCACCTCAACACCATCACCACCATTAACACCACTGCCACCATCAACACCACCACCATCAATACCACCA